GAGTCGGGTCCGACTCGACGGCACATAACAACAATAATCGCCTGGGAAACCCAAGGAGGGGTCGCTATGAGTCGGGTCCGACTCGACGGCACATACCAACAACAATAATCGCCTTGGAAACCCAAGGAGGGGTCACTATGAGTCGGGTCCGACTCGACGGCACATACCAACAACAACAATCGCCTTGGAAACCCAAGGAAGGGTCGCTGTGAGTCGGATCCACTCAACGGCAGTGAGTTTGGGTTTTCGGTTTAAGTTGCTAATCAAGGAGCTCTGAGGGTGAGGTACCCAAGGCATTTGACTGCTAACCAGAACATTGGCAGTTCAAACCCACTAGCTGCTCTGCAGAGAGATGAGGCAATCTGCTTCCGTAAAGATTTCCCGCCTCAGAAACCCAAAGGGGGTCGCTGTGAGTCGGGTGGACCCGATGGCAGTGAGTTTGTTTCGGTTCGAGCTGCTCTTCAGCTCCGTGTGTGTCCACCCTCTCTGTGTATCTAGCTGCAGGGAGAGCTTTCTGGATTTCTGTCTTCCTTGCCCAGGGCCTGCCAGTCAGGGTGTGGACAGTCAGTCCCAGCTGGGGAAGGGGAGAAGTTACCTAGACCAGAAGTGTGTTACACAGCTCCTTCTCGTTAGCGACCCGATCCACAGCTGCGCATCCTGCCCCGGCCCCGTGACGTTTCCAACCCGAACAGGTCTGTGCTGGCCGATTTTCAGAAGTGGACAGCCAGGCCTTTCTTCCTTGTCTGTCTTATCGGGAGGCCCCACTGAAGCCATCCAGCATCACAGAAACACACTGGCCTCCAAGGACAGACGGGGGGTAGCTGCGTGTGACGCGCACTGGCTGGGAATCGAACCCAAGTCTCCCTCGAGAACGGTGAGAATTCTGCCTGTGACCTACCACTGCCTCTTACGCAGCTGAACCATCAGGACCTGTTTGAGGCGGGTTCCAGGCCGTGCCCTGTGAAGGGTGAGAGCCGAGGAAATCCCCATCTAGGCACGGAGCCTGCTTCTCCGAGGGTCCCTCCCCATGCGGCTGGGCAGCTGTCCCTCAGTGGGCCCTGGCTCGGGCCTGGTCCTGGGGATTGTCTCAAGACGGACGGGAGCCAAGCTGAACGATTTGGGGCTGGAGCTCTGGGGAGACAGTGTCTCTCCCCTCTGGGCCAGGCCACATCCCGTGAGCCACAGTGACACCTACTGTGACTCGGAGACAGGCAGACAGGCCGAGCTGGCTGCCACCCCTGGAGCCCTCACTGGAGCCTTGGGGGAGGGTTCTCCGTGCCCGGCTGTCACGTTGGAGCTGGGTGTCTGTGCCCACAGGGAGGTGCCGGGAGGGTGCAGGGACTCAGTGGAGCCGACAAGGATGTGGCCGGGGCTGAGGGGACGGTGGGACAGGGGCGGCTCTGAAGGAGGAGCCCAGAGGAGAGGGGGAGGTGGGGATCGGGGCGGCGGGGTCCTTAGCACCCATAGCCCCTTCTGTACCTTGCTGCTTCCCAGCTGGTGAGGTACGGACAGGATGCTGACAGAGATGCCCTTGTGACCCTGTCCACACCCTCTGTCTGCCAGGCCCCCATCACACCCACACACACAGCCCTGGGGGTGTCCTCGCCCCAACCCTCCTGCTCCCAGATGGCATGACCTAGGGGCTGGGGATGGTTGTAGACTGGCGTCTCCTGGGTGATCAGGGTGTACCAACCCACGGGATGGAGGGCCCCCCGCGGTGGGTGGAGGGCTCCCCGAGGCACCAAGACACCGAGACTTGCTTCATCTGAGGATGTAATTAAGTGATTGTTGCTCTTGGAAAGGCTATTTCGTTCCTAAAATGGCTTCATTTCCGTATCCTCTCCGACGCCACTTTAATCGTTGTTTCAAACAAGAATTAGGAATGGGGCAATCTATTTCCATAGAGATGCTGTCTTGGAAACCCAAGGAGGTGTCGCTATGAGTCAAATTGACTTGATGGCAGTGAGTTTGGTTTGGGTTTTGGTTTGGGCCACAGCTGGGCCCACCGCCATCAGGGCTGAGCGGCCACAGCCACACCTCCCCTTCCTCGCCCACCTGCTGAGGTCTCCATTTCGCCTGACATCGCTGGCAGGGTGGTGCAGGCCACCTCCACGGCCCCTGCCGCCTCGCTGTCCCCTCCGCCCCTGGTCCTTGCCCTCCAGCCCCACAGGCCTGGCATGATCAGCCCACTGACTTCCTCTCCAGGAAGACCACCCAGCCTCCAGAGGTTGCCCTGGCCACCCCCACTGGCCTCCATAGGGACGGTGGCCCTCGACTGTGTCCCGGCACACCCCATCAGGGCCCATAGCGCCCCACGTCCGCGTGCTCCCCCTTCATGTGCCAGGGACTTGGGTGGCTTCCTCTGCTTGGACCCCCACACGTCCTTGGGTCAGCCCACCTCTGTAGGTCCCTCCTGGCTGCAGAGGAGTCAGCTGAGAGGATGCTGGAACCCGGTGGGCAGGGGGGCCGAGCGAGCCAGCCACGCGCCTGGATCCATTGCAGCCTTCAAAGAACCCCTCGGTGTGGCACAGAGCATGGGGGTGGGGCCAGTGTGGAGCAGGGAGGCTGGTGGGGGGGAGAGGGAGGACCTGCAGAGAAGGGCCCACCCTTAGAGCAGATGCGAAACCAAAATCAGACACCCAGCTTGTCTCCCCGCCCCGGGCGTCCTCCGGTCGGCTGCCACTGGAGACCCCCTGGGACCAGCAGTTTGATGCCCAGTGTCCTCAGCCCACCAGACCTGGGCGGGTCCCGTTCCACAGATAAAGAGCCCGAGCCCGAGAGCTGAGGAGACCTGCCAGGGTTTGGGCAGTGCCCGGCTGCCGGGGCAGTCCCCTCACCTGGCAGTGCAGGGCTGTGGGCACCGACTGGTTCAAGTTTTACTGTTAGTCCCCGCTGTGGCTCCTGTGGCCTGGGCAGGGTGGACAGTCCCAGGACCAGCCATCCTCCTGGCTCCCACCCCATGCCTCTGGGGGAGCCTGGCAGGATTTGCAGCTCTCCCCGCTTCTCTGCAAGCAAACAGGCCCAGCAGGACCGGCTGAACGGGCCCAGACATCCCACAGCACAGGCTCTGAGCCAAGTGGGAGGCTTAGCGGGCTTCGTCTCTGGGCCTGCCTCTCGCTAGGACACCCAAAGAGCCAGGTTGCAGTGCTTGCTGCCTGGGGGAGCCCTGTGGACACCCCTTTCCTCAGGTGCTCGTTTGAGGGCCCCTGGTCTCGGGGGCCCTCCTCTGCTGTTCAGAGAGGCAGCTCCTCTGTACCCCAGCACTGGATTCCTCACTCTGCCGGCGGCAGGTCACATCCCAGCGTGCAAGCCCAGGCGGGAAGCCACCTTGCAGCCCGCACGCGGGCCTGCCTTGAGCTGAGAAGGGGCAAACGTGATCCACGCAGAAGCAGGGGACCCAGGGGGCCCCAAACGGCTCATCGAAACCCTTTGGGCAACTTCGTCCAGTTTTAAAACTGTAATGTTGCCTCTACCTGCAGAGAGAGGACACAGCAGGCTTGTTTTAGGAAAGCGCGCGTTGTCTTCTCCATACCTGACGCCTGGCGTTTTCCAGGGTTCCAGGCTCCCTAAGCAGCTCCCCGCGGCCACCTCCCATGTCCGCCCGCCCCACGGCTCCCTCAGAGCTCTTGCTGCCAGCACCCCTCTGCGTCTCATTGGGTGCTGTGTTTGGGGTTTTGTTTTTAATTAAACACACTTTTACCTTTACTGCTGTGGAACACGCCCGTTCCCTGTGGCCACCAGGTCTGTCATCTGGTGCTTCCTGAGTTCTCCCATGAGGTGTCACATTCCAGTGAGGCCTCAGGTCCCCACATAAATCCTCTATGACAACAAGGCACAGAACATGCCCGGGCGGGGCTTTGGCCGCCCTGGGGGCCCACCTCCCGTGGATGCAGTCCAAGCTCCACTCCTTACCCCAGGTTGTCAGGGGAGGCCTCTGTGCTCCGCGGAAACCTAGGGTCCCTTCAACCAAAGCAGCCCTGGTCCGAGGCCCCTCCCTTGCCAGGAGAGGTGAGCATGGTCTGGGCAGTGGCGGGTCTGACCGTCCCCACCCAGCCCCTCTCAAGGGTCTCCGTGGCCTCCGGTCTGCTCCCCATTGTGTGAAGCCCTGGGGGCCCACGCCAGCGTCCTCTCCTGGAACCACACAGGGTCCCAGGCAGAGCACACCAGGCTGGCATGACCCGCCTCCGGCTTCCTGTTGGAGGCCTCTGTGTCTGGCTGAGAGCTCCCCACTGTCAGTCTGTACGTCCATTTGCTTGAATCAGCCAGTGGCCTCCATTACCTGTTCTCCCAGATCAGCTTGACTTGCTCTTGGTGAACTACTCACCACCTCTGCCCAGGGCTTCAGTGTCTCCTTCCACCCACTGTCTTAGTGCTCAGCTGTAGACCAGGGCCAGCACTCTGGTCTGTGGTCTGTGGAATCCACGCTTCCTTCCATCTGTCCACCCATCCATCCACCCACTCATCCACCCACGCAGCCATACATTCACCCGTCCATCCATCCATCCACCCACCTATTCATCCATCCACCCACTCATCCATCTATCCACCCATCCACCCACTCATCCATCCATCCACCTGTCCATCCATCCATCCACCCACCTATTCATCCATCCACCTACCCATCCATCCATCCACCCATCCACCCACTCATCCATCCATTCACCCATCCATCCACCCATCCACCCACCCATCCATCCACCCACGCAGCCATACATTCATCCATCCATCCACTCATCCATCCATCCACCCATCCATCCACCCAT